CTGAGTTCCCCTCTGTGCCCTTGGAAATGCACCTCAATGGATTTTATTACTGATCTCCCCTCTGTACAGAGTATACTAGCATTCTTGTAATTATGACAGCTTATTTCATTCCTTCCAAGAACCTTCCATCAGCTGAGGAAACAGCACAAGTTTTTAAGACCACACTTTTAGACACCACAAACTAGTTAATCATGCCATCTTGAATTGCACATCTCAATTAACCTCCAGGTTTTAGAAGGTCCTCTTTCAATTATTAGACATTAAAATCCATTTGTCAGCTTTTTGACATCCAGCCTCTAACAGTCAAATTAAACATATAAACCAAATTCTGAAGCAATATCTACAGAGTTTTGTCTCTTATCAACAAGACAACTGGACCGAACTACTGCCTCTTGCAGAATTTGCTTCCAACAACCAAATGCTTTCTTCCATCGGTGTGTCTCCTTTTCAGGCAACCTGTGGTTATCACCCTTGCACTTCTTCCTCCAGAACTCCTGTATCTGCAGTTCGTCGTGCTCAGACTTTCTGCAGGTTAGGCAAGCTCCTCAGCTCCTCTTAAAAGAAAGCCAGATTTGGAAAAAGCTGCGTACCAGTGAGTGACAGATGCGCACAAGCAAGACGGCGCCAAAAATTGCAGTAGGACATTTGGTGCGGCTTTCAATTAAGTCTTTATTTTCTGCCCAACTCTCCCGAAAACTGGACTCAAGAGTTTACTGGCTCCTTCCCAATTATTCAGCAAATTAACCGAATGGTCTTTCATCTACAATTGCCTGCATCAATGAAAATGTACCCTGTTTTCCATTAATTGCTACTTGTGTGGGAGGACCCCACCCCACCCCCCACAGCTTATGCTCTAGGACGGTTCCACCTCTTCCCAGTTCTGGTACATGGCAGGAAGAGTATGAAGTAGAAGCTATTCTGGATTCTAGATGCAAGGAGAAGCAATTCAAATATCTGATGTGCTGGAAGGACTATCCAGAATTGGAGATCATGGAAAAGTGCAACAGTTGTTCATATCCCATGCTTTGTACACCAGTTTCATCTAAATTCCCAGGAAGGCCCTATGCCCATGATCTGCCACTGCTACAAAGTGACTGTGGGTCCAGGATGAAGAGGACTCTGTGTTTCCCAGCATAATGGGTCTCCAGAACTGATGAGTGTGTAGCCAGGGGTAAGAGCAGGATCTTGAGCTCCATCTACCTCTAGGCTGCAGGAGTTGCCGTGTATTGTGGGGGAGCTGCCAGATGGGCATAAGGAGGATCAGCTCAGGCAATAGCAGGAAGAAGGGGGGAGTGCCCACTCTTTCTACCTCTGCCAGGACTTGTCTAGTGATCTCAGGAAGCTGTTGAGTGAGGGGGAGAGGAGTGAATCTGATTCTTTTCTCCATGACTCTGTTCCAGGGTTTTCTTTGCACATGGGACAGGAGACTGAGTCTAATGGGGAGGTAATATAGGGACCCATAGAGATGACCTTGGAGAAACTATGCAGAAACCATTGCAACAGGTGCCAAAACATGCTTCAAGCCTAGGAAACAGAGAAAGTATTAGGAAGAGTCTCATTCTGGCTTCTCCCTGACTCCCTGGAATATAATAGGAAGGAAACAAAAAATGCAGTCAGGCTTGCAAGATTCTGTTACAACAGCTTCAATCAGTATAGTCCTAGTCTTTCTGTGGTATTTGTTTCCTGATCTGGACAACCTCAAAGGGCTGACCATAACCTAGTCTGTACTTATTAAACCTAATAATAATAATAATAATAATAATAATAATAATTATTATTATTATTAATAATAATAATATGTTATAACATTATATAATATATATATAAATAATAATAATAATACAATCTACTTACTAAATGGTGTGTGTGAAAACTCTTAACCAAAGCCACCATGAAGAACCATCTAGTGATAACTATGGCATAACAAAGATTGCAAATTGGAATGTAGAATAGTAAAGGATTAAGATTGTAAATTCATGAAAGAAAATAAAACTATATATGTGTGTAAACTAACAGGAACAGGAATGATGTCTCTACACGTTTTGAATGAAGATTGCCTGATCTTATGGTGAGAAATGGATGAAAACATGCAGAAAAGTGAAGATATAGGTTCAGTTATAAATGAAAGAGCTAAAATCTATGTCAGAAAGTATGAATTGATTGTCATGGATACGTAAGAAAATAAGAATCCATAGGATAGCAATAGTTGCATGTTACAGTCCAGTGAATGATGATAATGCTAGGACAGGATGAGTTTTGACAAAAACTGTGTAACATTCTGAATGAATGCAATGCAAGTAACATGAATGCATAGGCAGGAATGAGACAAGAGTATAGAAAAAGTGATCCAGCCATTTGGCAACCCAAGAGCAAATGAGAATTTGTAACTGGTGAATATCTTTTCACCAAAAGAAAAGGACCTGTTTGTTTTGACTATGTAGTTTAAGCATATATCTAATCATACGGACACGTAATAAAAGAATATAAATCTAAAAGCGTGGTTGATTGGCTATGATGAAAGATTGAGATAATTAGTGAAGGAATCAAGAGCGAGGAGAGGTACTCAGTAGGATTGACAAGAGCAGATCTTGAGAAAAAAAGGACATAGGAGAAAAGAAATGAAGTAACTCCTTCAATACTTTAGTCATTGCATTCATTTAGGCAGGTTCACTGCTAGAAATGACAAAACCAACAGGTGTCTGTGTTGTATATAGTCCAATGCTATAATGTTCTATCTGGGTCCAGGATTTTTCTGTATTTCATCTCTCCAACTCATAGGTGGTCAATCTTGCAAGCATCTAAAGGAGCTACCAATATTTCATCTTTGAAATATCCATTGCCTTGCATATTTAAAACATGCTCTATTCATAATTTCTTTCTGTGCCACTTTGATGACATCTTCAAATTGGTTCTACAGTGAATTTCTACATTTCAGATTTGGCGTCTGAATGAAATTTTTAGTATTTGCCCTTCCACCACATACTGCATTACTCAAAGCTTCTCTATTCCAGATTTTCTTAGATTCTACACTTTGCAGCCATAGGTCATTTCTGGTATGACTATGGTGCTGAACGTGTCTGTTCTTGCTTTGGTGTTTTTCATGTGTTGGACAACTGGGTGGCAGAGGTAATTGTCTAAAGACCCATCTTAAACTGAGCCATGTAGCTGTTCTTCAGCATGATATCTCTTAGTCAGTTGTGTGTATGGCACTGATTTCTTAGCCAAGGTAAATGGAGTTGACATTCTGTATCTGCTCATTATCTAGTTACATTTCATGATATGGTTAGAATTAGATTCACAAGCTTTGGGAGATTTTTCTATTGATTTTCAGGCCAACCGCTGTGCTCTACCATGCGGAGCTCTTTTAAGCATTACTCAGCTTTTAAGACACTGCAGCTGATGATTAAAATATCTTTGGTGAACCAGTGTGGCTGCATTTCTTGCCATTGATATTGATACCTTTATCTCCCCAGCTGAATCACTTAAATTCTGGAATGTTTTACAGAAGTAAAGAGTTGAAGTTTGATTGCTGAATATGATACGAGCAGTATATAATGGAAGTAAAGCATGTGTGAGAATAAAGAGAATTCTTAGCAAATTGTTCAACATTGAGCAGGAGTAAACAATTACATGTGATGTCTTTGTTTAATGTATTTATGGATAAACGCTTAAGGAAGGCTTGTGGTGATGTTAGATCACCACAAAAGGATCTGTGTCCTTTTGTACACAAATAATGCCATACTAATGGCTGAGATTCTGAAGAAATGCACTGACTATATGATGCAACGAGGAGTATGGAGCTGAAGTTATCAAAGATATTTGATATGGGGTACAGAGCAAATGTTTCTTCTTTCCACATGATTCTAGATATACTTTTCTCTGGAAGCATTTTAAATTTCACGAGGAGGAAGCATCAAAGAAGGTACGGTTGTAAGAAAGTGAAGAAGAATGAAGCAGTCTTCTCTTCCCAAACTTCTCCACTTCTTCTGAAAAGACTGTATTTCTCCTACAATGGCTCCAGTTTTTTCTAACAATGGAGAAAAAGCCCACTAGCTTTTCTGACTCTTGGAGTTTATACCATTTTCTGCAGTGAGAAAAATCATGAATGCCACCTCCATTTTCATTCCTTTTGCAGGCGCCCTTATTGCTTTGCATCTATTCAGAAATAGGGCCGTGCCACCACAAGGGCTGCTGACCATAGTTCTGAAATCCACGTGCATTTTTCCAAGCCATGAGATTTTCTATGACCCCACTGAGGTGGCAGTACCCATTCATTTTCAACTCTACCTCCATTTCAAACACGCATGTAATACCAAGTCACAAGCTCCACAGATTGCAAAAAGACTGGCTCATTTGGGTTCCCCAGCTTTTCCCATTTTATATTTTCTTTCCTACATTAGACTGTACATAGTTGTCGTCTTTCAGACAGCACCAACCTAGAATCTTGACGGGCACCATGATTATTATGCACAATACAGTCAAGGCAAAGCAGCAAAGAATGAAATGCTACCCAATTTCAGTCACTGGCTCCATGCTGAATTTTATTTTAAGAATCTATACCCTTTCCCATTTTCAGAAATAATCCTAAAATGTACATACATGCTCATGTGTGGCGTTTATCCACCAATAAGTACAAAGACAGGTCTTTAAAGCCCAGTGTTTTTAAATGTTTTTTTTTTAAACCGCACATGCAAAAAGGCAGGTTGGAAGCAAATGGAGGACTTGGAAAGCAGCAATGGGTTGAATAATCAGCAAGAAAAACGGAGATGTTCGGGGACCAGGGCAGATGTAAATAACAACCGAGCTCAAAGAGATAACAAGATCAAAGAGGACTGGGCAGCTAATGCTAGAAAGGTGGGTTTGGAAAGCGCCAGCTGGATACGGAAAGAGGAAGGGGCTTCCCTCATAAGAGACGCAGGAAATGAGGGGGAAAGGGCAAGGCGGGAAGCAGCTCTTTGTGCGGAGAACTTGCAGCGCGCCCGCGCGTGATAGATACCTACCAGGTTTCCTCCTCCACGAACTGCTGCTGCTGCTCTTCTTCCTTCTCTTCCCGGCCAGAGCAGCTCAGCCCTTGGAGATCCAGTATTTCCACCTCATCCAAAAGGCTGGCCGAAGGCATAAGGGCGGCAGTGGCGGCGGCGAAGGCCTCGTGGGGTCCCCCGGTGGGGGATGGCTTGAAGTAGACGAAGGGCTCGGCTTGGCACACGAGAACTGGCGCTGGGTTCGACACGCCGGCCGGCGGGGAGCCGCTGCGGGGAACTTGCGCAGCGGCGGCGGCCGCGGCAGATAGCAGCCGCGGCTGCAGAGGACTGCTCGGGCCAGGCGCTGAAGAAGGGGAGGTAGCAGCGGCCCTATTGCGCAGCTGCTCGTTTTGCTGCTCCAGCTTGCGCACCAGCTCTTGCAGCTTCTTCACCTCCAGCTCGGCGCTCACGGCGCCTGGCTTCACCTCCGCGACCATCGGCTTTACCAAAGCGGCCTCCATGCCCGGAGGCGCCTGAGAATGGTGCGCAAGAGCCTCCCCTCCTCGGCGAAGACGAT